AACTAAATATTTAATTTGTAAGTTAAATAATTAGTTTATAAACTCTGACATTTATAAATCACATGGTGAAAAACTGACTTTGAAAAATAAATCTGTTCTTTTTTTCACATAAAAGGCCAAATAAAACAAAAATATTGGTGGTAATTTTTGACTGTAACTTTACAAACGGCACCTCATCTGTTTGTTCTGTTTGAGCTTTTAAACTGTAAAAATAACAGATTATTTCAGAGCAGGCCCTCCACAGTCGGGTCCACAGCTCGTCCTCAGCCTCCGTCTCCTCCTAACTCCTGCTCCTGTGCCTCTGCAGGACGCCCGGGCCTGCGTGGACGACCTGAACAGCCTGCTGACGGTGGAACCAAAGAACTCGGCCGCCCTGAAGCTGCTGCAGGAGGTGCAGAAGAAGAACTGAGAGCAGGTCTGAGGCTCGGTTCAGAGCTGAGCTCGCTGCTGAAACCTCAGCTCTGGCTGGTAAAAACAGGGTGGAGTCAGGGAAGGTGTTGTAATTTAACAGATTGTCACTTTCAGTCATTATTTATGGTTATTTATAGAAGCTAAAATCAAGGACAACTTCTGATAATCAACCATCTTTATTATCACCAGGTCAGAGTTCAGCCACCATCTTTTAGAGGAAACAAGTTTAGGACAGACCGTGTTGCATTCTGGGTCAGAAGTTAAAACGAGTTCAACAAATGGATGTGATGTTTTTAACTTCATCAGCTGATGATCCTTTGAAGGGTCCAGAAATGACTAAACGAGCCAAAGAAACGCCTAAAAGAAAACTCGTAATAAAACTGAAGCTCTGAGCAGAACTCGTCTTATCTGACCTAAAATGATCAACCTGAAAACATCTGGGAGCAGTTCTGTTTTTAAATGAGTAAAAAGAGGTAACGCTTTATTTCGCAACGATTAGAATCTTAAATATTATTTTAAAAATAGATTTCTTTCAATTTAAAGAGAAAATGAGCACTAAATCAGTGTGATTTCAAAATAAAAGCACAGCAGGGAAAAAGCAAAGTTGTTTTACAATGAAAGTTCAGGAAGGTTCATTCAGTGTTTTATTTACAAATTAACATTTTTCACTTGTTTACCACTCAGGTAGTTTTTTTTTCATTTGTCATTTTATTTGTGTATTTTTCAATCTTGGCTCATTCAGTTAGTTTTTCCATATCAGCTTTATTCTGGAGGTTTTTAAATGTTTCTGTGCAGTTTGGAAGAAGCAGTGTTGTTTCAAACAGATGTTTGTTGGTTCTGCTGTGGGTTTGTCTCCTCCTCATTTACCTAAAATCTGTCACAATCCCCGTCTTACCCAAAGTGCCTGCCTTTATGTTCTCCTGCTGCTGCTTTGGATTTGTTTCTGCAAGAATTCAAATAAAATGTGCGCCTCCAGACGTGTGTTTGATTTCTTCACAGGAACTCTGTCTGGTCTGAGCTCAAACTGTTGGGTTGTGAACGTCACCAGAAACTGCAGCTTCAGTTTGTTTCTTCGTGTTTGCAGAGTCAAACCAGCTGATAAAGATCCTTTTTGTTTGTTCTCTCCCTCTTCTGCTCAACTGCAAAGAAAACTGAGAGCAGACCATCTCCACTCGAAGCTCGTCAAAATAAAACATCAGCTGTTTTATAAGAGACGGATCCAGCTGTCCCATTAAACAACCAGGATTGTTTCAGGAGGACCCAAACTGACGCTGTGTTTCCATTGACCATGAAAATGCACAAATTAGAATTTTAAAAATAAATTTGCTCAATGAAAACGTTAATTTCGAAAAAACGTTTTTCGACAAAATGTTGTTGCACTAGGATGAGGTGGTTTTTCAGCCGTATCGAAATTGGTGTTTTTTGCAAAACTGCAATGGAAACACCTTTTTCACATCACAGTAGTCACGTGATCAACAACCGACTGTTTCTACAGGTGAAAAAGACAACAGGAAGTAGAAGTAGTAGTAATATCACAGAAGTAGTATAAAATAGTAAACTCACCGACTACAATTTCCCAAAAACACAGCATACGTAGCCGCTCCCAAGTAGGGACTTGTCTCTGGAAAGCCTCGATAAAAGACGCCGACGTCTCCTCTGATGATGAGCGCTAGTGTCGTGGTAGCAACATGCTATGTGTTTACATCCATCGCTGCCATGTTTGTAATGACTTATCATGAGAACAAACATATTCACGCCTGACTTTAATAACATTTCTTACTTAATGGAAACACTGCAGTTGTGTAACTGTTTTTCGACATTAACAGAATTTCGACAAAGTTTTGTGCACATTTGTAATGGAAACAACTAATAAATACATTTAAAATGCACCAGTTAAAGAACTTTACCTCATGTTTTATAATTTAATTGATAGTTATTTTTCAACTTCAAATAATTTATATATTTCTGCAAATCATTTACATTTAACTGCTTTTAAAAATATTTTTATTGTACTTGTCTCCTAAATGTTTATATTTATTTCTTACAATTTTCCCCACAAGTCTTTATTTCCATGTGTTGATTTTACGTTTCTCTGTCTCCTGTTTTTATTTCACCTTATGCATTTCTGCCTCGTTATGCAATTGATGTGGGCGGAGCTTATTGGGTCAGCTAATTTGCTCCTTCCGGTCTGTTGACCAATAGGAGAGGAGCTAACCCAAGAAGCTCCGCCCACCTTATTTACACGAGGTGGAAATGCATAAAGTAAAAATGAGACAGAAATGTAAAAACACATTGAAATAAAATGTAAAAAAGATTTTTACAAAATAAATAAAATATAATTATTTAAGAGACACAAATGCATGTACAAGTAAAAGGAAAAAATTAAACAGTCAAAGGTAATTTGAGACTAATTATGTAATTTATTGGAACTAAGCTGGAAAAAAATGTAAATTAAAGTATATATTTTTTAATTTAATTGGTGCATTTTAAGTGTTATTTATTTATTGGTCCTTGTATTTGTAATTATGTCAGTTTCAGTCCTCCACAGCGCTGATGTTTGTTAAATGAACAAAAATCTGCAGTAAAACCGCTGCGCTCTCATTGGTCCAGGTTTCTCCTGTAACTCCATAAATTAATGGATATCACCAACGTAAAACAAGCAGAGGAAACGCGTTCCCTGAGTCGGGTCATCCTGATGTTGGCTTCTTCTCCAAACCAGAACAAAGAAAATTTGCATGTTGTTTAATTTGAGCACAGCCTTCTGTTATCTGCAGGAATATTTGCATTTCCCTCTCAACCGTTTTTTGAGCCGCTGCTTTTTTTAACGTCTCCTCCGACAGGAAGTCAGAACAAAAACCCAAACAGAGGCGGGCTGATTCGGAACTGATAAAATCTTTATTTCACTTTAAATTGTCTTTTACATTTTGTCCTGTTTATAACATGTAAAGTGAAACTAGTTGGATTTTTTTGTGTTTATTTTTTAAAAGACATACACAAATCTAATATTACGTCAATAACCAGGGTGAAAGTATCGAGGTATTCAAAGGGGGATTTTTAAATTTTTTTTGAAAGTTTTATTATTTTTATTGGTGTCCTTAAGCTAACTCTAAAGTTTCACAACCACGTGCGCGCTAAGCAATAAAACCGTCACAGAAGCAGACTTTTTGTTGGTTTTTTTTTTTTTTGGGTTGAAATTTTTTTTTGTTTGTAATTTTTTATTTTAAGCAGAATACTGGTCAGTAAAAACAAAATTATTTCACATACCAGATATACAGACAGGCTCGGTGCCACATTCACTACTGCATGGGATCAGTTTTCCTTAGAAAGCGAAGAATAACTGCCTCGTTTTGTTTAGCTAAAGAGAAAAGAGCGACAGGGAGGATGGTTTGGTTTTTTTTTGTAAATTTTATACCTTTTTAAATGTCAGTGCATGAAAAATATCCCAGAAAAAGAATAAAAAATAAAGAAACAAGGCGTTTCTACATCTAAGTGGAATGTCGTGGTGCTTTAGACAAGGTTATTGTGACACTGAGTGGGAAAAGTTGCAGTAATAAAAGGTATTATTGGGGAGAAATAAGCCTTTGTGGTGTCTTGTTGAGATGTTTAAACAAGAAACCACAAGGAGGCGGAGCTTTCATGACATCAGAGGCTGGAAAATGTACCGTTGTTTTTGTTTTGATGCAGCTGAAAGACGAGCTTCAGGGTCGCCTCCTAAAAACGAGCTGAACTACAGGTTCTCACTTCCTCGACTGGCTGATCGGCTGCAGTCTGGCTCCTTCAAACTGCTCAGGTTTAACTGCATCGCAGGATCAATCACAGCTTTGTCTAGTTCAATAAAATAAAGAGGGGGGGGCGTTTTCAGATCAACTTTAAGGTCCCTATGCAGTCAGTCCACACACAGGTTCCACTCATGCTGCACAAGACTCAAGTGGCAATAAGTGAAGGCATGCATTGTTGCACCGTTCAGCTGCGAGTGGAAACGTGACACGACAGAACTTGTCTGTTAA